CTCTCTCTCTCTCTCTCTGTGTGTGTGTGTGTGTGTGTGCGCGCGCGCGCGAGTGTTGCATGTTGGTTAGTGTGCATCAATTAAAGCAGCGCATTAATATAGAACAGTGATTACACTGACTTGGAACTACCTGTGCATTAAACTGTTTTACTGCATACCTGACAGCCAATCAGAATCCAGTATTCAGACAGACCATGGAATAATTGGAATTAATGCACAGTACTCAGTTGAATTCATTTAAACGTTTGGACTGAGTTGGTGAGTCTCATATATAAATAATCATGTTCATGTTCACCCCAAAATCATTTTGTGCCTGCAAATTAAGCCTATGTTTAAAACTATGAACTTTTTTTGCATTGTGACTTTATTTTCATGACAATTAAGCACATTTTTGGACAAGTTTGGAAGTTGCATTTTTGTGTAATTCGCGTTAGTCTCTATGGTGATTCTCTTAAGATATTTTCATTCATGAAATAATTTAATTAAACCTTTCTGTAATACAGTGATCCTTTTATTTACATCTGTGTAAATAAGAAAAAGCAGTACAGAAAATTCTATACATACAATACAATTTAAAATGTAATTAATTAAATGGTAAATAAAAAATAAAAATAAATTTTTAATAAATAATTAATAAAAAATATTTTAATCTTTTATATTATAGTAGTGAGTATGATGCAGGGTTATTATAGTTAACTAAAACTAAAACCTTTAAAAAAACATTTGTTACTTGAAATAAAATGAACTTTAACTGAAATAAAGTTAAAATATTTTTTAAAAATTATTTCAGCTAGTTGCCAAGGCAACATTTCTCGGTTTCTTTTAGTTTAACTTCATGTACTAAAATAACTAAAACTGAAACCGAAATAAAATTAGTAAATCTAAATATTTTTAAAATAGAAATAATACAAGTAATAAAAACACATAAGCAAAATTACAAAAAATAATAAATCTAAATAGGCATATTTAAAATAGAAATAATACAAATCATAAAAAACACACAAGCAAAATTACAAAAACTAACTGAAACTGAAATGAAAACAGCAAGTATAAAAGTATAAAAAATAAAAAATAATTCAAAATATTAATAAAAACTATGATAGTATCTCACTGATACTAACACTGGTATGCAATTTATTTGTTTTTATGTATTAATTTTTTTTTATATTTATTTAGAAATATTTAGTTAAAAATAAAAATAAATTATAAAAAACATTAAACTTTATTTGAGTAACATTTCTAATTTTCATTTGGTTTAACAACTAAAATAACAAAAAAAAATTATGCAAATTATATAGACATATTATTTAAAAAATTAATAAAAATGACAAAAACAAACAAAATTACTAAAACTAGCTAAAATGAAAACAGAAAATATAAAAATAAAGAGTAATGCAAAATATTAATAAAAACTGTAATAGTGTCTCAATGATACTAAAATAAAACTTTATTTATTTGTTTGTTTGTTTATGTATTTATTTATTACAATAATCAAAATTTTGACAGAAAAATAATGCTTTTCTAAAATTAGGCCTCATTTAAACTGGAAAATTATAATTAAATTTTATTTTTCACTTTGTTTTTGAGGAGGAATTTTATCTGGAATAAGCTATTAATAGGTGTTACAATAATTATCACAATATTTTTAACCACATATATACAAAATGTAAAATGTGGAACAGTAGCATAAAATGTAGTTGTGTGTGTTTCCATAGACTCTTTATTACTCATGAAGTAAAATGACAAATTAAGGCATTTATATTTTATGAGTCGGAGTCTGAATGTTGTTTCCAAATGCTTCGTAAGGTGTCAGATTTCAGACTCTTTGTTTTTGGCCTTTGTAAGTCTGGATCCACCGTTGACTAGCTGTACTCTTATGTAAAAAGAGGGCTGTTTTAACAGATTTCAACTGGAACCACAGGGACTCACAAACATTTGTTTGGTTCAAAATATTTAGGACGCTTGCTTTTTGAGGTCTAAATGATATTTCCCAAAATCTATTGACGTTTGAACAGTTCTCAGAGTGATTTAATCAACTGTGCTGTTTGTAAATTCCCACAGGTCAGCAGCAGGGTCAAGAGGGGGTCAAAGTTCAGTCGACCCCGATGACGGTCACCGTTGGCAACATCAGCAGCACGACCCTGAGTCCAGACCAGATGGGGCAGGTCCAGAGCCCGTCGGACCAGGAGGGTCAGCCCAGCAAGAGGCTGCGCAGGGTGGCCTGTTCCTGCCCCAACTGCAGGGACGGAGAGGGGAGGTACGTCCGAAAATGTAATATGAGAGAAACCGGGTTTAGAGATTAAACCAGGGGATCCAAAGTCTTGCACACTTTTTAGTTTTTGGTTAGTTTTTTTTTTGTTTATGATGTTTTTTAGCAGTTAAGTATGGAAGCTTGTTTCTGCCAGAGGATTAAAAAAATGAATAATAAGAAAAAGGTAATTGTGACTTTTTATCTTACAATTCTGACTTGTTTTCTTGCATTTGCGTTTATCTCTCATCTCTCTCTCGTTTATAAATCAGAATTATGAGGGAAAAAAGTCAAAATTGAGAGATGTAAACTCAGAATTCATAGAAAAAGTCAAAATTGTGAGATGTAAACTAAGGATTATGAGAAAAAAGCCAGAATTGCGAGATATAACCTCAGAATTACGAGCTATAAACTCAGAATAACGAGAAATAAACTCAGAATTACAAGCTATAAACTCAGAATTACGAGCTATAAACTCAGAATTAAGATATAACCTCAGAATTATAAGAAATAAACTCAGAATTACGAGCCTCTTGACTTACTGCCTTAAGCCTTCTTTTGTTCCTCAGACGTTTTCCTCTTTTGTCTTTTATCCGCCATCTCTATCTTTATGTCGCTCGGCTCGGCTAATGTCCGCTCTCTCTACCACATCATGAGTAGACACGCCCCTTACTGCTGATTGGCTACAAGTTTGTTTTGGTACTCGGCCCGACTCAGTTTTCTAAAGCGCTTTTGAGAAAGAAAAAAAAAAATATATATATATATATATAGGTACTATAAATGTTAAAAGTCTCTTTAGTGGGTTATAATTTGTCTTTTGACCAGCTAAAGCTAATTTTTTTCTCCATTTCTCTGTAATCTGACAGAAATAACAGTGACCCATCAAAAAAGAAGCAGCACGTGTGTCACATGGAGGGCTGCGGGAAGGTTTACGGCAAAACGTCTCACCTGAGGGCTCACCTGCGCTGGCACACAGGAGAGAGGCCGTTCGTCTGCAACTGGATCTTCTGCGGGAAGCGCTTCACCAGGAGCGACGAGCTTCAGCGGCATCGCAGGACGCATACAGGTGCGCAAACAATCACACAGGAGCACAGAACAGGAGGAACAACATGCACAGGAGGAAGAAAATCAACATGAGTGTGTTTATATCCGATATCCGTTATTATATCCGTTTATATCTGATTAACCAATCAAACGGCCTGTCAGCCCCAGAAATACAGCACAGACAAATATAAAACAGTTCATTTTTAACAAGACATAACTATTGATTTAATTTATACTTCATGGCACTGAATGAAATATATTTTTTTTTAAATGCACTAATATATATATAAAATTATATATATATATATATATATATATAGAACAATTTTCAATTAATAAACATCATTCTATATCAGTATATAATATTTTATATATAAATATACATGATTGAATGTGTTCGACTCAAGCACAAACATCGCTGATCATTTCTATAAACGACCCCTAAAAGCAAATTTAAAACAAAGCATGTCTTTAGACCTCATCCTCAAGACTTTTATAGGTCATTTCAAGGCATATTTCATGCCATTATTTTTTTCAAGGTGTATATAATATCATATTTGAGGTAATTTTTCACATTTTACATTTCACACCCCATAATTATTTATAATCATTATTATTAAATTATTGATTGCTACATTTCATTATGTTTTTGGTTATTTTGTGATATATATTGATTTATTTGATATTGTCGGCATCATTTTATTTCAAGGTGTATTTTAAAAAAATTATTATTTTTTTTTTCATTTTAAGGTGTATTTCATATCATTTTTCATGTTAAATAAATTAATTTCACTCTTATTTATTCATGCTAACATTTAAAAAAAATTAGCATTTATTTTATTTTATTTACTTTTATTTATTGCAATATTCTATAATGTATTTATTATTTTCATAATATATATATATATTATAGAATATACATTTTTATAATGTATGAAATTATATATATATACACTTACAGACATTTTAAAGTGCATTAAAATGGAAAACTTATTTTAAATTGTAATAATATTTCACAATTTTACTGTTTTTACTGCATTTTTGATCAAATAAATGCAGCCTTTTGGGGGAAAAAAAAAAACATAAAAAATGTCACTGATCCCAATCTTTTGAACGGTAGCGTGTGTGTGTGTATATATACATTTAATAATATACATTAACTTATTTTTCAGATTTTATATGCAATCAGCCATGAATGTAGCCATTGTTGCTGAAATAGCATTAAAACATAAATAAAATAAATATACAGTCAGCCATCTTGGATAATTTATTTCTCTGCACTAGTAGCAGTGCATTTGCAATAAGTGTTTTTTTTATATATACGGTCTTATTTGCCATCTTTAAATTGTAAATATCAGTATTATATCAGCAGTAGGCCACCCTGATCTTTAGATATCTGTTGTGAGAAAGCCACACCAGTCGACCACTGAACTAGTGTCTTTTCTTGCTCCGATCTGAATAAACGAATGATTTTCTCTGTCCCGATCAGGTGAGAAGAGGTTCGAGTGTCCGGAATGTTCCAAGAGGTTCATGCGGAGCGACCACCTGTCAAAGCACATCAAAACCCACCAGAACAAAAAAGGTGGGGCGGCACTTACCATCATCACCACAGATGAGATGGAGGAGGAGGTGGATGAGGTGCTGGGCTCACCGAGGATCGTCACCGTGGCGACGCTCTCGCAGGATTCGAACCCGGCCACGCCCACCACTTCAAACAATTTAGAGGAGGAGTTCGAGTAGTTTTCCCTCCAAAAATGATCGGTTGAAAGCACCACAATATTGTTTGTCGGTTTGTTTATATGTTGATTTGTTTATGTTCTTCATTCTTTTTCTATCGATGATGGACAGCTGTTTGAGCGCACTCGGTTTTTTTCATATGGAAATTTAATGCTATCAAATATTATGACAGAATAATCTAATGGAAATAGTATGAGCTGTTAAGAGATGCGTTGAACGATGGCGTTTGTTTTGTTACGAGTAGCACAAGAAGTACTGAAGTTCCCAGATGCTCCTGAAGATGTCGCTATGCACAAAAATAATATGTATATCTGTTTCAAAGTGGTTTGTATGGAAACTTGTTTCCACCACAGGATAAAAAATTAAAAAGGTAATTATGATTTTTGAGTTTATATCTCGCAATTCTGAGTTTATATCTCACAATTCTGACTTCTTTCTCATAATTCTGAGTTTATATTTCGCAATTTTGACTTTTTCTTTGAATTCTGAGTTTATCTCATAATTCTGACTTTTTCTTTGACTTGTTTATATTTCACAATTCAGATTTTTCTCATAATTCTGAGTTTATATCTCATAATTCTGACTTTTTCTTTGAATCGAGTTTATATTTCACAATTCAGATTTTTCTCCTAATTCTGAGTTTATATCTCGTAATTCTGACTTTTTTCTCATAATTCTGAGTTTATATTTAGCAATTTTGACTTTTTCTTTGAATTCTGAGTTTATATCTTGCAATTCTTTTTTCTTTGAATTGAGTTTATATTTCACAATTCAGATTTTTCTTTGAATTCTGAGTTTATTTTTCACAACTCTACATTTTTCTTTGAATTCTGAGTTTATATTTCGTAATTCTGACTTTTTTCTCACAATTACAAGTTTACATTTCGGTATTCTGATTTCTATTTTTTATTTTTTTTTATTTTTTTTGGTTAATTTCTGCCATGAAATAAAAAAATTTAAATAAGGTAATTTTCGACTTTTTATCTCGCGGCTCAGACCTTTTTTTCACAATTTATATCTTTCAATTCTGGATTATTATTTTTTTCACACGTGCAAGAAAAAAGTCAGAATTATGAGATGAAATCTCAGAATTGCGAGAACAATATTCTCGAATTGTGATAGAAACTCAGAATTGCGAGAAAAAAGTCGGAATTATGAGATGCAAATGTAGAATTGCGAAAAGGTCTGAATTTTGATATAAACTTGACATTGTGAGGAAAAGTAGTCTGAATTGTTAGATAAAAAGCATAGACTGTATAAAAACAAAGTCGCAATTACCTTTTCTATTTATTTTTTACGCTGTAGTGGAAACAAGCTTCCGTAGGTTTCAAATGGAAAGTCGGGGATGAGAATCTCGGAGCTACACGCGACGGTCTGTGGGTTTCCGTACCATAGATATATATACATATCTATGATCTGGCTAGAAAGATGAGCACCTGACGAATCTTTAGTACACGATTAGAGTCGCAGCACAAGCTAGAAAGTGACGCCGTCTGTGATTGGAGCGCGTCGCGAAGCGTCAGCCAATCACGGCCTCGCGTTCAGAGCGCTTTAGAATTCAGGCATATATAATAATATAACTGATGATTCAGCAGTCAAACTTTTATGTAGGAGAAACGAGATTATAGAGACGGGCTATGTAAAGAAAAGCACATTTGATTTACAAATAATGCATTCCAGTTACGATTTCTTTAGAAATAAAAAAATAAACGAGAAAGAAAACAATCTAGCTTTCTGAGACATGCTATGTTAAACGAAAGCAATACTTTAAAGACAATCTTTACCATGTTTACATTACCGAGGGGTAGAATAGGTTTAAGAAAAACACCTAGAGAAGTTCTCTCTGATCTCAAGTCATATAAACTGTACTCTGATGCCTTAACAAACACTGCAGTACCACTACGTTACGGCTGGGCAGGGGAACGCGGGGCTTCGACTGTGTTTTCAGACATACTCGTGTGCAGGTGACCGCATTTAGCTTTTTATGCACGATGGCGAACACTGTGGGAGCGAGCGACTGTCCGCTTCGGCCCTCGTGAAGATCCCCCGACCCGCGTCGATGCGTCCTCCTGTCGCCCGTTGACTTTCTTGCGCTCTCCAAAGAGATTCGACCCCGTTACGTGCACCGACTCCCTCCAAACGCTCCCTCTGCCTCCACAGGTCACGGCGGGGCGGGAAACACACCCTGAAGCCACTTAGATGAGTTCGATGTTGAGGAATCTGTGGCGTGAGTTTAATTTCATTTCGAGCCCGGTTTTCATTCCCACACACACGAGTACATACGCACACGCGTCTAATTTATTATTTCTCCTTCTATTATTACTATTTGCTAATGTGTATTGTGCGCTGTTAATGCAGAGATGACGTGCTGCATGGTTAATTTCCGCTAACGATCTCTATTTAGTAACGATCTGTTAGTTCTAAACGTGGTCCTTTTAGAAGTAAAACCGTGGCTTTTAATTTATCTGACGTTTCGCACCATGACGTGTTTCAAATGGAGAAAGAAAAAAAAATGGTTGATACCAAACAATTATAAATAGATGTTTTTTGGTAATATTTTCTGTGGCGAGCGATTTTCTTTCATATTTTCTAGTGACACCTCATTTGTAAATCATTTTTCTAAGATGTTCCTTTGTCCTCATGGCATTTGATAATGGGTTTTTTGCCAGGTTAGCCTGAAAGGCTGCAGTTTATTGATATTTTTAAAATAACTTTGTACAAACGTGTTATGTTAATGGGTAAAAAACTAAAAAAAGAGGAAAAAGAAAAAACGTTGCCTGCATAACACTTGAAATTAAAGTGAGTAATTCTGTCTTAAATATTCCATGTCTAATTCTTTATTTCAGTCTGTGCTTTTATTTACAGCATGAGCTTAAGTAAAAAACAACACTTTACTAAAAGGTTCAATTTGTCAACATTAGTCACCTATACATTAGTTAACAATTACAAATACCTCTTAAAGGAGTAGTTCACCCAAAAATGCGGAGAATTTACTCACTCTCTCAGACCATCCAAGATTAGGATGAGTTTGTTTCTTCATCAGATCTGGAGAAATGTAGCATTGCATCACTTGCTCTGCAGTGAATGGGTGCCGTCAGAATGAGAGTCCAAACGGCTGATAAAAACAAAACGATAATCCACAAGTAATCCACAGCACTCCAGTCCATCAGTTAATGTCTGGAGAAGTGAAAAGCTAAAGGTGTTTTTTTTGTTTTTGTTTTTTGAATGTTAAGGGAAAATTCCATTGTATCAGTTTGCAAACAACATATTTTAATGTTCTCTGAATGTTCTGAAACAAGTAATAAAATGTTTTAAATGTTAGACGAATATCCAACTGAAACGTTTCAGTAAAGAAACGTTCCTTGAACGATGTATAAGTAATAAATAAGTAAATCACATAAATATTTTTAGTTTATATTTCGCAATTTTGACTTTTTCTCATAATTCTGAGTTTATATCTCGTAATTCTGACTTTTTCTCATAATTCTGAGTTTATACCTCGTAATTTTGACTTTTTCTCATAATTCTGAGTTTATATCTCGTAATTCTGACTTTTTCTCATAATTCTGAGTTTATACCTCGTAATTTTGACTTTTTCTCATAATTCTGAGTTTATATCTCGTAATTCTGACTTTTTCTCATAATTCTGAGTTTATACTTCGCAAATTTGACTTTTTCTTTGAATTCTCAGTTTATTTTTCACAATTCTACATTTTTCTTTGAATTCTGAGTTTATATTTCATAATTCTGTCTTTTTTCTCATAATTACAAGTTTACATTTCAGTATTCTGTTTTCTTTTCTTTTTTTTGGTTCATTTCCGCCAGGAAATAATAAAAAATATTTAAAAAAAGGTAATTTTCGACTTTTTATCTCGTGGCTCAGACCTTTTTTAATTATGGATTTTTTATTTTATTTTTAGAAACGTTCCTTGAACGGTGTATAAGTAATAAATAAGTAAATCACATAAATAATAAATGTTTTAGTGCTAACAGTCAACTTTGAATAATAATAATGCATGTTATTTAATGGCACCTTTCTAAACACCCAAGGTCACCTTACAGCAAGCAGAATGGTAAAAAAAGAGTAACAATAGACAAACAGATCAACAAAGTTCAACAGCACAACTGCATACATACAGTCGAGGTCAAAAGATTACATACAGCTTGTAGAATCTGCAAAATGTTAATTATTTTACCAAAATATGAGGGATCATACAAAATCTATGTCATTTTTTATTTCATACTGACCTGAATAAGATATTTCACATAAAAGTAATTTACATATAGTCCACAAAAGAAAATAATAGTTGAATTTATAAAAAATTACTTCTTTTGTCTTCTAGGAAACATGCAAGTATCTTCTGTAGCTTCTGAAGAGCAGTACTAAATGGAAAAAAATATTATATTTGTGACCCTGGACCACAAACCAGTCATAAGGGTAAATTTTTTGAAACAGACATTTATAAATCATCTGAAATCTGAATAAATCAGCTTTTCATTGATGTATGGTTTGTTATGATATAGGACAATATTTGGCTGAGATACAACTATTTGAAAATCTGGAATCTGAGGGTGCAAAAAAATCTAAATCTTGAGAAAATCATCTTTAAACTTGTTCAAATGAAGTCCTTAGCAATTAATATTACTAATCAAAAATTACGTTTTGATATATTTACGGTAGGAAATTTACAAAATATCTTCATGGAACATGATCTTTATTTAATATCCTTAAGATTTTTGGCATAAAAGAAAATTTTGACCCATAAAAGTATTGTTGGCTATTGCTACAAATATACCCCAGCGACTTAAGACTGCTTTTGTGGTTCAGGGTCACATTTAGGCAAAATAAGAAAAATGTACACATCTTCATTCTGTTCAAAATTGTATGTGAACTTTTGAATGGGGTCCTTTTATTTGACACAATAAACAGTACAATAGTGTATATTAGACACAACTTTTATTTTCTCTTGTGGACTATATGTAAACGTCTTTTATGTGAAATATCTTATTCAGGTCAGTACGAAATAAAAAAATGACATGTATTTTGTATGATCCCTCTTATTTTGGTAAAATAACATTTTGCAGATTCTGCAAGCTGCATGTAATTTTTTGACCTCAACTGTACATCATAAATACGTTAGCGGCTTAATAAGAGCAAGTCATAAAAGAGCCTGGTTAAAGAGATTTAAAAGAATGCAGACTGTCACTGTTGCATATATTGGGATGGAGGGAGTTCCCTAGACGAGGAGCCGCAAAACTAAAAGTTCCTGTTCCCATGGTGTTTGAGTTTATATGCAGCCACACGAGAAATCAAGAGTGAAGATCTGAGAGTGTGTGAAGGAGTATAGATGTGGAGTAGGTTGTGAAAGTTCTGAAGTGACTTAAATATGAGAAGCAAAATTTTTAAGCCGATGCGATACTTCACTGGGAGCCAGTGTAGACGTTGGAGAACTGGAGAAATGTGCTGAATAGATGAAGTCCTAGAAAGAACAGGAGCTGTGCATGACCCGAGGGTGATACTTTGGATTGGAAATTTGAACAAACCCCTAATACAAAGTAGTATATTTTTGTTGAGTGTTGAGTTGGTGATGGAGGGCAGGAGTGAGGGATGACAGTGTGGAGGTGGAGATGGTTCAGGTGGGCGGCTCTCTTTTGTTCTTTTCTCCGTTTGATTGACGGCTCTGTACCTGCAGTGCGCCACCAAAGGGAAGCTTTATCCACTTTAACAGCTGCTGTGTGTGTGTGTGTGTGTGTGTGTGTGTGTGTGTGTGTGTGTGCACGCCTCACACTCACTCCATCTAACGGAGCACCTGTCTCATTTGACACGTCTCAACAGTTTGGTGTTCATATTTAATACTGTAGGATAAACATAATGAGATTCATAGATTCTGTACCTGGTTCTATCTATCTATCTATCTATCTATCCATCTATCCATCCATCCATCCATCCATCCATCCATCATATATCCATCCATCCATCCATCATATATCCATCCATCCATCCATCCATCATATATCCATCCATCCATCCATCATATATCCATCCATCCATCCATCTATCTTTCCAATTTTATATTAAACTAGAGGCTAAGGTTTGTGAACAAACTTTGATGGTGGCTTGGGAAAGCCAACATGGGCAGCTCGAGCCAAAAGAGCCAGATCACATGTGTTCTGTGTTCTTGAGCTGACCCCGCCACAAAAAAAGTACAACAGTTATTGTTTTCATATTATTTTTGTATAGACCCTTGTTATTTTAATTTTAACTGACCCTTGTAATTTGCTTATTGCGTTAAATTTGACAATAAGCAAATTACATGCAATATCACAAAAAAACAGGTTTCAGGTTTGTAGGTGTTCAGGTGAATCAAATGTAAAAATAACACTGCATAGTTTTCATGAAATATTGATTTATTCATGTTAAAGCAACAAAAGTTATGCAGCCAAGAACAATGAGTGATTTTCTCTTTTCGATGGATTGACATTAAAGATGAACAGCAGCTGGTAAACGTGGTCACTTTAATGGATGAATCTGATATAATCAAGGGCGTAGATGCTAATATCAATACCATCAATAATACCAATATCAGAGACTACTAAATTGTCCCTATCAATAATTTTGATCAAACAATGAAATGTCTGATGTCTGCTGTTATGTCCCCACCAATGCCAAAATCAAATCAAACGCACTTGAATATAACGATCCACATCCAATTTATTTCTCAACAGTTTGTTCGCTTGAGACATGTTTTCGATGGTATTCGCAACGCTATCATGTATTTTGGTATGTATTTGTACATTCAGCGCCTCGGGGGTCACGTGTTGTCGGAGACACTGCTCTCTGTCACACAAAACAGCTCTTTCATGTGTTCTTGTGCTTGAATGGCGTAAAATCGCTTAAAAATGCATGCAAATGATGAACTTTTGTAAAGACGTAGCAGTGTCTGTACTGTATGTGTGTATTTGTAAGGAAGAGAGAGCGGGAGACAGAGAGTATGTGCTTTCCGTACATATCTCAACGTAATTTTGTAATAATTTGTCGTTTTTATCCTATTGTTTACTAAATGTATTTGCTTGGTCAGTGTCTTTGTGGGTTTTGGTTATTTTGCTGTTGTAGACCTTTGAAATACAGTTTTTCTCAGTCGCTTTGGTGCATTTCTCAGATCAGAAATCTACGTGTTCAACCTCCACATCATCTAGTCACTTGTGCACATCATATAAAACCAGTTTCTCATTCTTTTGAGCAAGTTGCGATTGCTTTGGTGCATTCATGCAATTGATTATATACATTTGTCTGCGGTTTCCTACATTATCAATTGCTAATGTCATGTTGCTCAAAATGTATTATATAGTTCTCTGTGCAACAGTCTTACCCCTCAAAACATCTAGTCATTAGTTCATCGTATAAGTCATTAAATGCAAAATGGTTGATCTAGTTGTCATAAACTTGCAAGCATATTTTCTACACATTTCTATTAGACTTAAGCCTTCTGCACTTCAATACAGTAACTGCATCCAAACTGTTGCCATAGTTTACATCAGATAATACTAACAGAGTGCACTGTAATATTGACAACATGATGAAGCATTTTGTTTGTGAACAATGACACATTCATTCTGATGGCACTGATATGTTCATTGCCATAAATACTTACTTTTGAGAGATGAACTAAAGATTTGGAGTAAGTTACAGGCTTTTGCAGGTAATCCATTGTGTGGTGCTGTTTGTACGAATTGTTTTGAGAAATGCACATACTTCTTTGCAAATATTAAGGATGGTTCGGGAAATGCACCAAAGGTGAGGAAAACTGCATCTGAAATAATTTGGGGAAGTGATATGATCATGTGATGCGGTCCAAAGCTGCCTGGAACTACTTTCGCCGTGCGTTTACCTGAAAATAATTGCACACCTTAGAAAGTTCGTCAGCCAATCAGATTCGAGCATTCAGCAGACCTGCACTATACATTTGACCTTATTTGTATAGTTGTATTTTATATTTAATCTGTATCTATCTGTATTTATGTTC